ATCCAACATTTTCCTTTTTTGGCATTTGCCAAGAATCCAGGCATCTATGCTATGGCATGGGGTAATTTACCAGTTTGCTGATGTACCAATCTGAGGCTGGTGAATAGGCACAAGTACCTTGGAGACTAAATAAGTCAAGCCAACTACCTTGCTTCTGCACTCAGCATGGACTTACATTGTCTAGTTTTCGCATATGCTGTGATTCTTACAAAGTTAAACTCTATCACAATTTTTTAAGGGAAGATTATATGCCAAAGCAGTAGTCACCATTTGGGAAGTCACAAAGTTGTCAAGATGTCACCTTCATCATACCTTTCTCCAATCATTTGATGAGCTTGTGACAAGGGCTCAGCTTAAGCACTTTGAGGTATTTCCTTGGTTCACTCACCTCCAGGGACTGCTTGCCACGAGACATTGAAGCCTCTGCCATTTATAGAGCTGTCAGTCTTAAATCGGATCGCTAGCTCATTGCCAGCACTGGAGACCTGCATGGGGTTTTCAGAAGATCTTTGGGCACACAACTGGGCTATTCTGGGAGAGTGGAAATCAGGACCTCCATAGACCTAAGAAGGAGTGTAGGAAAAAGGGCTCAAATTAAGGGAAGTATTTAAGCAATTACACCCTTCCCCTGGCTCCTTTTTACCACCGGCTCTTGGATTCTATTATGATTAGAAATTACAATCTCAGCTTCACTTGGTGGGGTGAACTGTAAACTTGAGCTGGATTTTTAAGGGCACTCCTCTGCCTTAGGAACACACAAGTCACCCACCAAAGAAATGCCTGCTTGTTTCATCAGTCAGAACTGTAGAGCTGAACTGAGTGAACTGTTCCAAAACCTTCTCTATCTTCCCTCTTCCTCTTTTTTTCTGTCTTCATGGGATTTCCTGCTTTCTTTGTCAGAGACTGTACAGATAATACAGTATCAAGTCTGGCTAATTTCTATAGCACATATGAAGGAGCCCTGGTGGTGCAGTGGTTAAGAGCTCGACTCCTAACCAAGAGGTCTGTGGTTTGAACCCACCAGCCGCTCCACGGGAGAAAGATGTGGCGGTCTGCTTCCGTAAAGGTTACAACCTTGGAAACCCTATGGGGAGGTTCTACTCTGTCCTACATTGTCTCTGTGAGTCAGAATTGACTCAGCGGTAACGGATTTGGTTTCTGTTTATGGCACATATGAATAATGTTAGCATAAAGACAGTTTCTTTATGAAAGTTTACACTGAGGACTATTGATCTCCCAGTTATATTGTTAGGATTTTCTACCTACTCTGAAGCTTGAATATTTTATAAAATTAGTCATTAAGCTTCTTCAGAGAGGAAATACAACTCTTAAGTGTGTTTTGGAATATCCCAAAGAAGGCACTCCTACAGATACTCCTTATACCTACTCTCAGCATGTCCACTCCCAGGAACCTGACCAATATCATCAAACTCCTACTCAGGAATTGCCCCAGACTGTGCCCCATAATCTAGACAGCTCCCTCTAGATCCATCTCACTTGGCTTCAGACCTCCTAGGATCCCCCAAATTACAACTATCTGGCTTGGGGTCTACAGCCTCAGTGACACATTCCTCCTAGTAAGTGTCCCCGTGGTCTCATTCATGTAGAGGATCCCACAGGCAAGCTCAGCCCAGCCCAGGTCTCCAGGACACCTCACATACAGGTTTCTCAGCCTCCCCTGGGCCCTGCTTTTATTGTGTGCTTGTATGTGTGTGTGCGTGTATGAGAGAGACAGAGAATGAGTGAGGTGAGTGTTAGGGCTACAAATAAACAGAAGCTGTCTTGTCAAACTTGAATTTATAGAAGAGAGATTATTTTTGATGACCGTGTCCAGGTACACTGCTATCTGCATCCTTCACAACCTGCCCCCTTGCACATAACGGGCCAGAAGCAGGAGAAGCAGCTGCCAGTTAGGTTTGTGCACAGGGCCAGCACCCTCCCACCTCTCCTACCTGTGCCTGTCTCCCACTTCTAGGTCACTCTCTCCCCATTCCTCAGGCACCCTCACCCTTGCCCATCCTCTGGCGTGCTGACCGATAAGGGAATCACTCAAGTGTTCTCTGGGGAGAGCAAATGAGAACAAGAGGCCTACTTCTGGGGAGGAGTACGTGATTTGAATCTGTAATGATCTCTTTGTCTGATTAATTCCCCCCAGCTATGAGGGAAGGCCAAAATGAATGAAACTGCTGTTTCACAGAGGGCTGAGCACAAGGACTGTAATTGCAAGGGAATGAAGCAGGCTGACTGCTTTGGGCTGATTTTCATTAGAAGGAGCTGATGCTTGTATGGCCTCCTATTTCCCATCAAAACAGGACTTTAGGAAGAGCCCTGTGTGGCCCTCTACACGGACACATATGCAAATAGAGGAAAGAAGGCTGCAAGGAGCCTTCCTCACTTCTTGTTTAGTGTTCTTTCACATTTCCATGAATGCCCTGGAGCAGCACCCCAGCTTTAAACGGACAGCATGTGCTTCTAATCATCTAAGCCCAATAAACGGCACATATTTAGAGAGAACCCTGCGCATGAGGGTTTAGTTCTAACAATGAAAACCTGCACGTTGGCAAAATATTCTTTGTTTTCCCTGCTCGTGGGATCCCTTGAGATCACAGACACAATGGGTATGAGTTGGCAGGGCCTAGAAACCAGCTGAAGAATAAATGCTACCACTTTTGGCATTCTTTGCTTCCCCTCTTACTGGGCCACACGCACAAATGACCATTGCTGAGAGACCAGACCGAGCAAAGTGCCCAAACCAAGCAATTGTCTCGGTTTATTGCGCCAAGGCGTGGATTTCCTTTTCTGCTTTATGCCTGTTCAGGCTGTTCCCTATAGAGCGTTCACAAAGACTGAAGCAAAACCAGCCAGAGTGTTTCTATGACAAATACAATAGAACGGTACTTTTGGCTTCCACAAATAAAACCAATAGTTAGCACATGACTCTTAAAAAGAGGAAAAAGATGGAAAGAATTTCAGGGTGTGGTTCGGTCAACTACAGCATATGACTAAAGTGTAGGAGAAAAAGATTTGGTCTGATGATCAGAGATAAAAGAAAAAAAAAGTGATCTTAGTGAATGCTCAGGGTAAAGAACATTTCAAAGCCTATGGTTTTAATCTGTTTTGAACATTTCGTTCTGCTCTGTTAGCTCCATTTATTGTTACCATCAAGTCAGCATTCCAGGGTTATGAGTAACCAAGCGCTGTTGCTTTATGCAACTGGCCATTTTCTGGACACTGATTTTTGAGGGTGAAAAAGTCCCGGTTAAACTTGGTGAAACCCAGGTAAAGCCTAATGCCTGGTGACAATAAGGTCTTACTCAGCTGCACTCAACAGAATATGAAAGAAAAAAAACTTGCCGGCTGAGAACAAATGAATGAAGAAAGTCAGCAATGTTTCAAGACCACACTTCCACCAGGGTAACAAATTTCAAAGTCTATTGCTAACACATTGTCTGTCTCTAAGGTCTGAGTGATGGAAAAATAAATCATTTTATCACTATCAGTTCAAATTTATCACACCACTTTCCACCTGAGTTGAACATTTGCAGAGTCAAAGTAGTTGAAGCAAGACTTCTAAGCAAAGAGTAAGGGGATTGCTCATTTGAGTCTGAAAAAGTAACTTTCCCAAAACATTTGATTAAGGGGGCTCAAAATATTCCCCCAAATTCTGCTTTTGCTGGAACATGGGAGGCCACAGCAGTGTCACCTTGTCCTAATAAAAGCCCTGGGCAGACTGCAGCCGCCCGTCGGCCATTTCTGGGCAGGCACAGGACCCTCCCTTGAATGCTACTGCCTGGAGTCCCTGATTTTGCCTCTCTGTGCCGGAGGCTGCTTTCAGGGAAAAGACTCAGTCTTTGCTTTCTCATGTAATGGGTGTGACAAAACCTAAAGCACAATGAAGCCATTTACACTTTGCCAAGTGGGCAACAATCACACGCACTTTGGAATATGAAAATGAAAGGTTCAGAACATTGCACACTGCTGCAGAAAATCTACTGCCAGCCCTTTGTAATTGTTAGGGGGGTTTTATGCAACCAAGAAGTACCCTTGCTGGCAAGAGGGGCCTCTGACTATTCCACATGTGAGTGTTATTCCTACTTCACACTGTGAGTGTGAATATATGAGGCATCTTGTTCTCTCCTCTTTAAAAAAAAACCTGCTTGTCCTCTGAGATGACTTGGCAAAATCCTTACATAAAGACAGGGATGGGTTTTGACCCAAGAATGTTATCAGCTCTGTATGACTAAGCTGAAGGCAGCACTGTCCTCCTTTAGAGAGACTTGAGCTAGTAAATGTAATTCCTAGTATCCACTCCATGAGGTGATGATTGTAGAACTCCATTTTTTAAGGAAATAGCTTATTTTGTGATTCAAGAAAGTTTTTTAGTTGTTAAAGTTTTCCATAAAATACATGTCACTCATTTTAATATGCTGCACACTGCACTTATCTATGGTTTTGTGGTGGATTTTATGGACCGTTGAATAGTGATCAGGTTCGGTTCTTAGCTTTTTCACTTTCTATCCATGTGGTCATGGAAAAATCCATTAATCTTTCTGAGCCTCAGTTTTGACAACTGTAAAATGGGGAGAAAAATCTCCTCTTATCTCACAGGATTATTTAACTTTCATATGTAGAAATGGATGTAAAAATCCCTTTGTAAACAAACATACGTGTGAGTTATTCTGCTGTGTCAATCAGAGATTTGGTTGTTTTCATTCATTCTATGAATATATTGTGAGTGTTTACTATTTGCTGCATACCCTCTGGCACTAGGGATATAGCAGTTAAAAAAGAGAAGGAAAAGAGGGAGAAGAAGGGGAAGAGAAGGAAGCAGGAGAAGAAAAAGAAGAGAGAAGGAGAAGAAGAAGAAAGCAGAAGATCACCCAGCCCTCATGGTTTAAACTCTACTAGATAAAAGAACACTTGTCATGATGTTATAAAAATTAAAAAAAAACAAACCCATTTCCATTGAGTCGAATCCAACTCATAGCGACCCTATGAGTCTATGAACAGTCCCTATAGCTGAAGTAAAAGTATTTTTATGTGCACTTGGAAGCCAATAGATTTTGCAGACAGTTCAATGTTTATATATATATACCCTAATGATGTTGTTGTTGTTGTTGTTGGGTGACATCAAGTTGATTCCAACTCATTGAGACCCCATGTGACAGAGTAGAACTTCCCCATAGAACTTTCTTGGCTGTAATCTTTATGGAAGCAGATAACCAGGCTTTTCTCCTGTGGCGTGGCTGGCTGGGTACAAATCACCAATCTTTCAGTTAGCCCCGAGCACTTAACGGTTTGCATCACCCTAATGACTAGATAGGAGTCCTGGTACAGTGGTTAAAGCACTTGGTTGCTTACTGAAAGGTTGATAGTTTGAACCCATCAGCTGCTCCACAGGAGAAAGATAGGACAGTCTGCTTCTATAAAGAAGTGCCTTGGAAATCCTATGGGGCAGTTCTACTTTGTCCTACATGGTCGCTATGAGTTGGAATCGACTCAATGGCAAGGGTTTTTTGTTTGTTCCTTTGTTTAATGACTAGATCCCTGCAATAAAAAGCTGATCATAATAAACTTTTGGGCCCAAGATTCTCAAAGGCCATCTTAATTATGTGAGATAAACCCTTTGCAGTAGTGTTGAAAAATCTCTTATCCTCCAATGCCTCACACTGCTTAACCGTTAAGAAAATCGCCATCTGGAGCAGATGCTTTTTGTTCCCTGCACTGGGTCAACTCACCTCAGATATCAGCTGTCCCTGTGGTGGGTAGTTCCTGTGCTTGCTGCTAGTGTCCCGCCTCAAGAGCCCGCCTTCTGTCTACACTCTGCCACCCAAATTCTTTTTTCTAAGGGAGAATGGGGCAATCCTCAACCAATGGGAATAGGAGTTGGGGGACCAATGTTTTAGCAGTAGGTTCTTCAGAAGGACAATTCTGATGATAGTCCGTGTGGGTTCTCAGAGGGTCCCAGCAGGATTGAGACCCAGTTAAAGCACAGGGGCATCCTTCACTGGCTCTTCCTCCTTCACTCTTTCACTCATGCAGTTCCTTCACTCCTGCTTCCTGGGATCACCACTTAATTAAGATATTAACCCCATATGTCTGCAAACATTCATAAAACACTTTTATCTAATACTATGAATAAAATAGAATACAGCCCTAGTAGCACAGTGGCTAAGAGCTCAGCTGCTTACCGAGAGATTGGCAGTTCAAATCCACCAGCCTTTCCTTGGGAACCCTATGGGGCAGTTCTACTCTGTCCTATAGGGTCACTATGAGTCCGAATCAACTTGATGGCAATGGGTTTTGTTTTTTGTTTTGTTTTTTATGAATAGAATAGTGTTCGTTAACTTGAAAAGATTTAGAAATCTTTGCAGAGTGATTTCAAATTCTACCCCAAATCTTAAAATGTGTTGAAGAAAAACAATCTAAATTCTTACCTCCAGGGAATCATAGTTGCAGCTTGCATGATACTCCACGTCAAAGTCATGGATAGTGAGCTGAATGCTACTCCCAGGGGCTGTATTAATGTACCAGATACACTCCTTGTTGGGTGGGTACCTGTTGGGATACCCCGGGCTGCTGAAAGCACCCATGTCCCCAAACAGCTCCCCACCACAACCTGTAAAAAGAGCAAGGCTCAGTCAGTTTAAAGTAGGCATCAGCATCTGGAAAAAATTCTAATATTCAACTAATAAAAAGGTAATAGAAAATACATAACAGCTAATTTATGAGAAAAATCAAAATTCAAATAGTCATAATTATATAGTTATAAAACAATGAGAAAGATCATGGCTACAACTTTTTCAAAAAGCATTGAATATATTGTTTGGTATAATAATCCTCAGTTATTACTCTCCATCAAATCTCTGGTAAATTCTTTTCAAAGTGTCATTACAACTTTTATAATTTCTTCATTACATTTCAGTAAGAATTACAAGTTTGAAGTCAGGGTTAACATGAACAGTGTTGGACAAGTTAACTCCATGTCCTGGGGTCTTCAGTTTTCCTATATGTAAAACTACGGGTTTGGGATGTATTATTTCTAAATCCCCTTCACATTAATGACTAGAATTCTAAGTGCTAAAAAAGTCCTTAGCTTTGTACTAATGACTGTAGGAAATAAAAATAAATAAATAATATAAGAAGTGACCAAAAACATGATCCATGAAAGAAAAAATACTGATAAGTGGGACTTCATTAAAATTAAAAATGTCTGCTCTGTGAAAGACACTGTTAAGAGAATGAAAAGGCAAGCCAAAGACTAGGAGAAAATCTTTGTAAAGTACGTATCTGATAAACACCTGTATCCAAAAAATACAAAGAACTCTTAAAACTCAATAATAGGAAAACAAACAACCTAATTGCAAAATGGGCAAAAGATCTGAACAGATACTTCACCAAAGAAGATATAGGAATGTCAAATAATCATATGAAAAGATGCTCTACATCATATGTCTATGGGAACTGCAAATTAAAACAACAATGAAATACCACTACACACCAATTACAATGGCTAAAATCCAAAACCCTGACACCATCAAATGCTGACGAGAATGTAGAGCAACAGGAACTTAAATTCATTGCTGGTGGAATGCAAAATGGTACAGTCATTTTGGAAGACAGTTTGCAAGTTTCTTGCAAAGTTAAACATATGTTTACCAGCATATGACCCAGCAATCGTGCTCTTAGTTATCCAAATAAGTTGAAAATTCATGTTCACACAAAAAAACTGCATATAAAAACCGTTTATAGTGGTTTTATTCAAAATTACCAGAAACTGGAAGTCACCAAGATGTCTTTCATTAGGTTAATGAATAAACAAACTGTGGTACATCCATACAATGGAGTATTACCCAGAAAAATGAGCTATAAAGTCACGAAAGGACGGGGAGGAGCCTTAAATGTATATTGTTAAGTTACAGAAGCCAGCCTGAAAAAACTACATACCATATGATTCCAACTATATGACAAAAGGCAAAACTACAGAAACAGTAAAAAGATCAGTGGTTACCGGGAGTTGGGGCTGGAGGAATAAATAGGTGGAGGCCGGGACATTTTTAGGGCAATGAAACTATTCTCCATGATACTATAATGGTATAAACATGACATCATGCATTTGTCAAAATCCATAAAACTTCACAACACCAAGAGTGAACTCTAATGTTTTAGAGATTTTAGTTAGTAATAGTGTATTAATATTGGTTCAACAACTGTAACAAATATACCACGTTAATGCAAGATGTTAATCATGGGAGAAACAGTGTGCAGGTGGAAGAGGGGTATATGGAAACTCTTTGTACTTTCTGCGCAGTTTTTCTGTAAGCTTAAAACTACTCTAAAAAATAAACTCTATTTTTTAAAAAAGTAAATGATAAGTCCTGACCCAAGGAACTTATATCTAATTTTTAAAAATGCAACACATGTTAAAAAAAAAATCAAGTAAAAATATACACGTTCCATTGTCGCCAAATCGATTCCAAAGTAAAAATATAGCAGTATATATTTTATTAATGATTATTTATCATTTCTTTATATCCTTAGAAAGTAATTAAGGCAAGTCATTACAACAATCAAATGCTGCAACATGTATTACCTATTTTAATACCCATAATAACCACATGAGGTAGGTACTATTGCCTGTATTTCTTAAATGAAAAAATCAGTGCAAATAGAGGTCAAATGGCTTTCCAAAGTTACATGCCTTGTAAGTGGCGGAGCTAGGATATGAACCTAGGCAGTCTGGCTGTGCCAGAGTTCATAACTAGTGTACAGTTTGTAGGAATTCTGACAGAGATTTCAGTATATGTATACATATATATATAACCAAAAAAAAAAACAAAAAACCTGTTGGCATCAGGTGGATTCCGACTCACAGCAACCCTATAGGACTGAGTAGAACTACCCCATTACCCCATAAGGTTTCCGAGGAGCAGCTGGTGTATTCAAACTGCCGACCCTTTGCTTAGCAGCTGTAGCTCTTCACCACTATGCCACTAGGGTTTCCTTATAAATAAATATATATATATTTGTTGTTGTTGTTAGGTGCCATCAAGTTGGTTCCGACTCATAGCGACCCTATGTACAACAGAATGAAACACTGCCCAGTCCTGCGCCATCGTCACAATCCTTGCTAAGTTTAAGCCCATTGTTGCGGCCACTGTGACAATCCATATCATTGAGGGTCCTTCTCTTTTTTGATGACCCTGTACTTTACCAAGCATGATGTCCTTCTCCAGGGACTGATCCTCCTGATAACATGTCCAAAGTATGTGAGACGTAGTCTCGCCATCCTTGCTTCTAAGGAGCATTCTGGTTGTACTTGTTCCAAGACAGATTTGTTCATTCTTTTGGCAGTCCATGGTATATTCACTATTCTTCTCCAACACCACAATTCAAAGGTGTCATTTCTTCAGTCTTCCTTATTCATCATCCAGCTTTCGCAAGCATTGGAGATGATTGAAAACACCATGGCTTGGGTCAGGTGCATGCACCTTAGTCTTCAAGGTGACATCTTTGCTTTTTCAACACTTTAAAGAGGTCTTTTGCAGCAGATTTGCCCAATGCAATGCGTCTTTTGATTTCTTGACTGCTGCTTCCATGCATGTTGATGTGGATCCAAGTAAAATGAAATCCTTGACAACTTCAATCTTTTCTCCATTTATCAAGATATTGCTTATTGGTCAGTTGTGAGGATTCTTTCTTTTCTTTATGTTGAGGTGTAATCCATACTGAAGGCTGTGGTCTTTGATCTTCATCAGTAAGTGCTTCAAGTCCTCTTACTTTCAGCAAGCAAAGTTGTGTCGTCTGCATAATGCAGGTTAATGAGTGTTCCTCTAATCCTGATGCCCCATTCTTCTTCATATAATCCAGTTTCTTGGATTATTTGCTCACCATACAGATCAAATAGGTATGGTGAAAGGATACAACCCTGACACACACCTTTCCTGACCTTAAACCACACAGTATCCCCTTGTTCTGTTTGACTGCCTCCTGATCTATGTACAGTTTCCTCATGAACACAATTAAATGTTCTGGAATTCCCATTCTTCGCAACATTATCCATAATTTGTTATGATCCACACAGTCACAGCCTTTGCATAGTCAATAAAACACAGGTAAACATCCTTCTGGTATTCTCTGCTTTCAGCCAGGATCCATATCAGCAATGATATCCCAGGTCCTGTGTCCTCTTCTGCATCTGGCTTGAATTTCTGGCAGTTCCCTGTCGATATACTGCTGCAGCAACTTTTGAATGATCTTCAGCAAAATTTTACTTGCATGTGGTATTAATGATATTGTTTGATAATTTTCACTTTCAGTGGGATCACCTTTCTTGGGAACAGGCATAAATATAGATCTCTTTCAATCAGCTGGCCAGGTAGCTGTCTTCCAAATTTCTTGGCATAAATGAGTGAGTACTTCCAGCCCGGCATCTGTTTGTTGAAACATCTCAACTGGTATTCTGTCAATTCCTGGAACCTTGTTTTTCACCATTGCCTTCAGTACAGCTTGGATTTTTTCCTTCAGTACCATTGGTTCCTGCTCATATGGTACCTCCTGAAATGGCTGAACATCGACCAGTTCTTTTTGGTATAGTGACTCTGTGTATTTCTTCCATCTTCTTCTGATGCTTCCTGAGTCATTTAATATTTTCCCCATAGAATCCTTCAATATTGCAACTCGAGGCTTGAATTTTTTCTTCAGTTCTTTCAGCTTGAGAAATGCAGAGCATGTTCTTCCCTTTTGGTTTTCCATCTCCAGGTCTTTGCACATGTCATTATAATACTTCAGTTTGTGTTCTTGAGGCTCCCTTTGAAATCTTCTGTTCAACTCTTTTACTTCATCATTTCTTCCTTTCGCTTTAGCTGCTCAATGTTCAAGATTCATAGTCTCTTCTGACATCCATTTTGGTCTTTTCTTTCTTTCCTGTCTTTTTAATGACCTCTTGCTTTCTTCACGTATGATGTCCTTGATGTAATGCCACAACTTGTCTGGTCTTCGGTCATTAGTGTTCAGTGCATCAAGTCTATTCTTGAGATGGTCTCTAAATTCAGGTGGGATATACTCAAGGTCATACTTTGGTTCTCATTGATTTGTTCTAATTTTCTTCAGTTTTAACTTGAACTTGCATGAGCAATTGATAGTCTGTTCCGTAGTCAGCCCCTGGACTTGTTCTGACTGATGATATTGAGCTTTTCCATCGTCTCTTTCCACAGATGTAGTCGATTTGATTCCCGTGTATTCCATCTGGTGAGGTCTCTGTGTACAGTCACCGTTTATGTTGGTGAAAAAAGGTATTTGCAATGAAAAAGTCACTGGTCTTGCAAAATTCCATTGTGAGATCTCCAACATCGTTTCTATCACCAAGGCCATATTTTCAAACTACCAATCCTTCTTGGTTTCCAACTTTCACATTCTAATCTCCAGTAATTATCAATGCATCCTGATTGCATGTTTGATCAATTTCAGACTGCAGAAGTTGGTAAAAATCTTTAATTTCTTCATCTCTGGCCTTAGTGGTTGGTGTGTAAATTTGAATAATAGTTGTGTTAACTGGTCTTCCTTGTAGGCGTATGGATATTATCCTGTCACTGACAGTGTTGTACTTCAGGATAGATC